CAAACTTTTTCTTTTTTTTGAGATCTTCGAAACGAAACGGGACCAGGAGCAACGAGGGTTGTTCTCTTTTTGTGCGCGCATAACACGTCTTCCAACGTCTTCGAAAACGGTGTTGGAACACGTTGAAACGACGGATGAAAAAAAAAAAAAAGGGTAGGAAAAATTTGTTGAAGCATCTCTTCTCCCCCTCCTATCTTTCCTCGCACGATTCGAGAAGAGGATCCACGTCCATTCGACTCGCAACAGATTTGTCCAGACCCTTCTCCTCCTCTCGGTGGAAAGTTGGAGAGAGAGTTGTTCCGTGAATGAGAGGAGAGGCGCAGGGGATGGGACCAGCCTGGATGAGAAACCAGCTCGAAAAAAATGGTTCCAAAAGGGAGAAGGAGGGAGTGGAGTGAAGAGCGAGGAGGAGTGAAGTGCGTTAAACTACGAGTCAACCGGGGCCACTTTGGGGGAGGGTTGAACTTTCGCCTGAATAATTCGCCGATGACGAAAGTTTTTCGTCGAGAAAGAGAGGCGCGATCTGGTTTTTCTTTGTGAAGGGAGGGAAAGTTTGCCGCGTGTAATTGAAAGGAAAAAATTATTGGTTCGATTTGAAAAAGCGTATTTGGTGTATTTGGCGATCGTTAATTAGATTTAAAAGGATAGAATTTTGGGAATAAAGGTACCTCGAGTTAAGTTTGTTATTCGAGTCCACTATAATAACGAATAAACGTTATTATATTCGTAGTATTTCAAGTAATTAAAGTGACTTTAATTCGAAATTTTACTAACTAGTTACTTTTTTTTTTCCAACGAGTTAGTTGCCCAATTATGTTTAAAAGTAAAAAGTATTATTTGTTTGGAAAAGTTTTAATTACAAAAAAAAAGAAGAAAAAAAAAACAGAGGAGATTTCAAGAGGTCTGATTTCACCAAGGAGAGGTTTTCACAGATCCACAGAGAACACTGCCACTTTCATCTTGCACAACCGCAGCCAAGTTGGCTGTCGCGGTTTTAACTCTGCCTTGCGATGCACTGAAATAAATTATTCCGTTCCATTCGCGTTAATTTATCGTCGTCGAAATTCGCAACTTTGCCGACCGAAAACTCAAAAGGAAGGGAAAAAAGAAAGGAAAATTATCAAAATGGATCTTGAACGGATTAAAACAATTACATTTTTCTCCGTAAAAAAAATTGAAGACAAAAATCGAACTGCTCGTATCTTCCAAATTACTTTGATCTACTTACTACTCTCCCTCGTTTCTATTCCCTTTATCTTGCAAATTTCACGGCAATGGAATCCCTTTCGCGTTTCGAGGGTACAAGTTTTGTAGATCCTTAATTGTCGAACGTGCTTCCCTGATACAGGCGATGCTTTTGCGAACGCTCGAATTTTAGCCGAGTTTACCGAAGCTCATCACAAAGGCCAAGATGTTTGTAGGCCGTCGCGCAGAGGCAGGGAGGTGTGGTGTGCCGTTTCCCAAGTGAAGAAACTCTCCGAAGAGTCGAGAGAATTTCAACAATGTCGTCTGGAACGCGACGATTCAAAGTAAGCCGATTAAATCGAAAATCAGATTAATCGTTTTCGTCCAACGTTTTGTTTTATTAAGATATTAACGAATATACAGAGAGAGAGAGAGAGAGAGAGAGAGAGAAATTTATATTATTGGAAAATTTTAAACAGATTCGATATTTGCGATCTGCTAAGCCACAATTGCTTCACTTATTTGCCCGAGCGTCTGATCAATATGGGCCGATACTACTGCCACGTTACACGTCCCTTTCGATCATTCGTCCCGAGATAAAATTGTAGAGAAGGGAATAGGGAATATATTTGATTTCCAGTTTAATAAGCGGTGAATATTCGTTTCTTTTTGTGTTTATGTGTGTGTGTTTGTTTTTATGAAACACGAAAAAAATTTTCTTCTAATAATATTTTATTTATACGAATACATTTATTATTACTCTACGACGTTTATCGATATTTTAATATAACATTTATCTCTCATCTAAATTCACACGCGTATAATTCGAAATACCAAAATATAGAATATATATATATGCATATATTCATACCATGCACGCCATCAGAATTTGAAATTTAGTAGCGCCATTCGTAAACCCGATAATATTCCATGGAATGTTATTACCACGCTATAAACTCCATAATTTCTGTGTCGTAACAATTCGTTCAATTAATTTGCGAAAACACGCGTGTTGCGTGTTTCGAACGATTTCAGACAATCTTTCCTTCGATATTTTACAAGTTCTTCTCCCCCATTTGACACTTTGAATTATAATTTCAACGCGATGAATCGAAAAATTAAAATTCTTGAACGTAGTACGAAAACGTAGTAAATAAAAGTAATTAGATTAGATATTAAATAACACAGTTGGCACATCATTATCGATTATCGTGTCGATTAATCGTCGCTCTAATTTCGATCTCATTCGTATCCTCGATCATATTCCTAAACAAACCGGGACTATCAAATCGATAAAACCCAACCCAGATTCAATTTCACGAGGAGAAAAATTCGGTATCTCGCGCCAACACCTCACCTTTTTCACCCTGCTGCACGAAATAAATTCGCTATCGATATTCGCCGCGATTCGATTGATACACCCCTCCATGCTTCGAGTTTTTTACGAGGGGGTGGGGAGAGGGGAGAGAGAGAGAGGAGAAAAAAATCTCCCATTGTCTCGAGAATTCGTTCGAATCTCGAAGTCGGTCGCGATAGTGAGATTTTAGAAAAGAAAAAAAAAAATAAATAAATAAATAAATAAATAAAGAATATTCGAAATTCTTGTCTGTCCACGAATTTGAAATCTCGAAAGATGGAAATATTTCTCCTCCTTCCCCTACAATTTTCCCCTACTGGATTGTCTCTCAATGGCCGCGCAATGGAAGCGAGAAATGCAACGCGTGAGAATTTCAGAAGGAGAATACCCATAAACGGATAGAAAAGGCACGAAGAGACAGGAATTGGAACGAAAGGAGGAAAAATATATTTTACTCGCGCGACCCAACGTTCTCGAGATCCTGGCCCCGATGTCGAGCTTTGTTTTGTGTCTTGTATTCCTAGAACGCTAGATCGAGGCTGTCGGGAAATATAATATAGATACGCTTGCTTTCTCTATACTCTTAACTGATTCTGATACGCGCAAAAAATAAAATCATGCATGTATTCGATCCAAGGAATTATATATTATTTTCAATATTTAAAATTTTTAATAATATTGATATGAATCGATTTCATATACCTCTATACAATCTCATCTCAATTTGATTTGATTTTTTATTTGTTTCCTTTTCTCTTTTCATTCCAATGCTTAAATTAATTTGTTTGTTGTAATTCCGCTTGAAAAAGGTTTAATTTGAAGCAAAGAATCCTTTCGAAGAAAAAAAAAAAAAAAAAGAGGAGATTATTTCGTTTCCATTGGAATAGCATGAGCAAGGTGTAAAATAAGGTTAGTAGATGGTAAATTAGCAATAAAGATGGTAATTTAATTACCGATCGATGTGTATACAATGGGCTATGCAATATTGGAAAACTTCGATTCGACGACTAGAATTATTTGGCCGTGTGGTCATTGACGTTTTCTTATTCCTGTATATTTATCCATTTTCCATTTTACCATCCAGTCGAAAGTATTTTTATCTTACGAATTGCAGGAAGAAGTTTCAAGAAAAAAAGAGATCTATCATAAATATATTTCGTGTTTCGTTTGTTTAAAATAATGTATCAACGTTATTGTTATCGTTATTATTTTTTTTTTCTTTTATTTTTATACACGTGATACGTATATAAAAATTTATATTTCTATTCATAAAAAAGAAAAATATTTTATATCTCAAAAATTAAATAATATAGTTTTAAAAGAAAAATGATGAAAATGTGTTCAGTTGATGTTTCGTATTTTATTTGTGATCACGCGCCGAAAGCAAAGTATAGATAAGGAGAATAGATAGTGGGAAAAGGATAGAGATAAAGTAAAAATATTGAAATCAGCGCCATCTCCAGAGTGCCGCAAATGAAACTCATAAAGAAAGGATAGAAAATAGTTGGATAAGGATAGAGATATAGTAAGAATTGATTATCAACGCCATCTCTCGATTATTAAAGATATCTTTTAAAGAATAGGATAAGATAGAATGTCGAGAGATGATGCTGATCTTTAATTCTTGCTCTACCTTACCTTACTTTTGATAAAAATATCTTCAATGTCTGAGAGATGGCGATAGCAGTCAATTCTTATTTTATTTGTCTTTTATTATTTACTGTCTTGCATATGATGTTTCATTTGCGGCACTCTAGAGATGGCGTTGATTTCTATATTTTTATTTTATCTCTATTCTTCTTTTACTATTATTGTTATATTTGTTTATACTTACTCCGCAAAATTTATGCGCTCAAAAAAAAATACCGGTTTATATTTTTATATTTATATTAATATAATAATACACAAATTTAAGCAATATGCAATTAATATTATATTTAATACCGTTTAATATTTTTTAATTTATGAATCTCTTTTCTTAGAGAATTTTTTAGATTCAAAATTAGAAAATTATTCTAAATTAGATAAACGTTACTACAGACAAGGAATAAGATTTTATTTATAAGAATAAAAATTCTTGTAAAATTAAAATATATAAAGTATAATTTAGTATATCATTGTTAGATGGCAACACGATACGAATCATCGATAAATTCTTTTAAATAAAATATAAAACATTATCAATTTTTATTTCTAGATAGAAAAATAAAAAAGTGTCTAACAAAAAGTTTAATGATTTCGTCTCTTGTGATAAATGCCAAATTAACACATAAATATAAATATATTCATATACATCAAGAAACAATTCGATAACGATACATCGAACGACGAAGAATCGATTATATGTATATTCTATTACGTTCGAGATTAATCGATACCCAAGTAAGTTAAACTTGGTATCAAATGTGACTTACTTCAGCTTTCTCGTTTCTCTTATTCTTGCTCTTTCTCTTTTTCGTCGCACGAATGTAACTAATTTTCTTAGGCATTTCTATCTGTCTTTGTTCCGCTTGTCACGTTTTAAAATAACTCCCCCTTTATCCCTTCCAGTGTCAGTGGTTTTTACGAAAAAAGAAACCTACAGTTTCGACCGATCAAACGTGAATTATATGAACACGGTGTGCTATGTCAATGATGTCGCGGTAACGACAGATCTTTGCCTATCAAAGCTCAAGAAAGGCGCGAAACAATCTTGAAATTAACATCTTGAAACGTATTATAAACGTATTATATCGACAGCAATTAAAATATATTGTCTTGTCATTACGACAATTATAAACTCTCTCGTTAAGTATTAATTAGTGCGTATTCGAAAACTTCGATTTTTTTAAAAAACACAGTGCAGAAATCTTGACAAGACTAATATGCTTCTCTCTAAAAGAAGTGAAAGCTTCGAGTTAAGTCGTTGTGCGTCGCGTGAAACGAATTAACCTAACAAAAATTTGTTATCTATAGAAATGTTGAATCTTGTTCAGTGTTACGAAAACTTCTTCAAGGAGATATACATTTTGATGGATCTGGAATTATCTTGAATTATTGAACCTTGAATCCTTTTCGTATGCATAAAATAGCTTGCATATCAACGTCAAAAATGTTTGGTTGCCCTAGAGAAGCTGTGCGTGTCAAAGTGAAGGTATAGTTTACTTTTTAGTTTTATTTTACAGATCTTATTTAACATTTAATATTGATAAAATGAATATTTATTTTCATGAAATTCTAATGAAATTTCTTCTTGAATAATTTTCTATTTTTACATACAAAAAAGTATAAAAAATAAAGATATTCTTATCGGTAAAACAAAGTATTACAGTTTATCATTATTAATACTTTGCTAATAATAATTTTTCTATGATAGTGGAAAATTTTATAAAAAATAATATATATTGAAAATAATATAAATTTAAATTTATTAGTCATTATTTAAATGAAATTTTTTATATTTATAATTTTTTACATAATATTTAAATGATACATTTTTATTTAAAAATATATATATTTGTAATGAAACGAATGTAATGTAAAAAATGATATGAATTAAAATTTTTATATGATATTGAAAGCGCACTCTATGATAAATTCGATATTGTTTATGATCGAAATATAAATCCTCTATAATAAAAAAGCAAATTCATTTTTACGATCAGAAGTGATTGTAAACCATAGAAAGTTTTTGCGATATTTATCTTTTGTGCAATTTCGCTTTAAGAAAGCGAACATGATGCTCCTTAATTGGAATAACCAACGTTCTGTAAAAATAATTAGAACATGTTGTTTCAATATTAGGCAAAATATTCCTGCGGCATTGCGGTAGAAATGTCCAATTAAAAACACCCGTAACGCGTTCTCCATACAGACATTTCAAGCGTCCATATTTGACATCATCAGAATTCAGATGTTAAAATGATGCCAGACTGCTCTCTTCGAGATATGTTTAATATCATATAAATTGTATCTAACATCCATTGTCTGAAAATTCGAATTTCTGCATGCAATAATTAATTTTAAAAAAATTACGATAAAATAAAATTTATTAATAAACTTATATCCAATTAATCTATCGTTTTAAACTTATATTTAATTCAAGGATATCAATAATTTCATTATAATATCTGTCATTAATCTGTAAATCGTGTCTTTATTTGTTAATATTCTTTTACTAAATATTAAAAGTTAACAAATCCATACAAAATTTAAAATAATATAATTAGATCAATCTCTTAGGTCAAAGTCAAAAATAAATATAATTAGAAATGGATTTATATAAATAAAATAGTTTAACTGCCAACTAATTCTAGTTTTACATATAGAAAATTTCTAATTATTCGAATAATATAATAAATAATAATATCTAATATAACTAATAAGAAAAAAATAAAATAATAAATTTTATAAATATCATTAATTTGATTTTTCTTTTATAATATTTTCTTTAACAATTTTTTTAAACAAATGAAAATTTGTTATTAAACAATTAAATATAATTATAACACTAATTCGATTCATCGCTACTGTTAAAACAAATATATTTCATAAGATTATACAGATTATACATCGATTTAATGTTCGTCATTTGCTCTAAATATAATATTTATATGTCATATGAATTAATACAGAAAATCTCGAGAAACATGAAAAAAAAGAATTTTTAAGTTTGTGTTTAACAGACAAAGACTAAGTTAGTAACAATTAAATAACAGTTAAAGCTATATAGTTATAATTAAAGTAAATTGCCATGAAAATGCCACAATTAAATTTTTTTCATAAATATGATGAAAAATCTTCAAAATTTACATGTTTTGAAAATTGATTTGATTTTTAAAATTTTCATTAATTCATTAATAAAGAATAAAAAATAATTACTAACTATTAATTATGAAAATTTAATCGACAATCTAAATGACTTACGTATAATGATAAAATTATTATTTGACGATAAATTACATTATCAATTCCATATATCGATTTAACAGCTTGCAATTTCATAACAAGTTAATCCAGTAGCAACGTAAGCAAAGCCGCGTATTTAGTTAAATCAAGTACTATATATTTTGTTTATTTGTTTGATTGAAATCAAATCAATCTTATTTTATTACTTATATAATCAGAATTAATTTATTACATTTTTTTTCATTTCTTTACATTGATTTTATAAAAAAATTTCACAAAATTTTTACAAGATAAAAAAGAAAAGTTTTAATACGATATTAATTTTAATATTTAAAGAAATATAAAATTATTTGAAATAATAAAAAGAAGAAGATTTGGTAAATGCTTCTTCTTTTCAATAAGAAAACGGATAATTTTATTGAAAGATTTTTGGATGAAAAATATCAAAGGCAATATAGAAAAATACATAAAAAATTCATAAATAGATTCGTAAAAATATTAATATTGTCTTTTTCTTGGCATTATATTATAAAAAAATAAATAAATCTGTAAAATAAATAAAAAAATTCACTAAATATTATTTAATTTTACGTAGTAATTAAAATAATAAATCGTTTAGGAATTACTAAATTTATATAAATTTCTTTTTATAGACTTCAAATGAAAACATTCAATTATAAGATATATTAATAAGATTTTTTTTTGAAGCGATCAGTAGACATTCACTTCGTTGGCAAATGGCTCGCAAGTAAAATTTGGTTGTATCGATCCATAGCTCCTACTTGCAGAGAGATTAGTTCGTAATATAAGAATCTATTAAGAGGCAAAACCAAGAGGCATTACCAATTGTTTAAGCCGTTTTTTCAAGTATATAATTATATTTACACGACGACCTGTCGATTGTCTTCTCTAGCAGATCAGTTTTGCTCAATTGATCGCTAAAGAAAGTATGAATAATATGGTTTTATGTAATTGCATAGAACATATGTTACAATCATTAACTTACGTAAAGAAGATACAATACGATGTTACATCAATTTCCAACGCTTTCGTAATGGTACTTGTGTTCGAGACTTCTAGGTTAACTTTAGAACTTCGGGAATTTCGACTTCATTATAAATCACTAGATTATAAAAATATTTAATTCATATATTATAACTTATTACAACTATTATTACAACTAGTACTTTTGAATTTAAAAAGTTGATTTTTGTTAATACAATTGAAAGTCGATTGATATTGCAATTTGATATCATCTTACTTCATAGGGAAAAAAGAACTTGAGAGGATTTTGTCGTAGTTATTCTTTATTTTTAGCGTTTACATTTTAGGAAAGATATGAAAATTATGTATATATCTTTGATTTATTAATATCTAGTGAAAATAGAATTCTAAAAAAAACTTGAATTTGAAATTAAATAAAAATTTAAATTTATAAATAATTCTTCTTGTATTATTCCACAGAATAAAATTTCATCTTTTAAAATTGTTTTATTTTCATTTTATAATATATTTGTAACTTCGATACTTATAGAAGGATTATCTGAAAAGACGCTTATAAAAAAAGATTTATCTTATTAGCTTGAATCGATGTTTTTTCCATTCAAGGTTTTCCTCTGAATTATTTAATTATTGGATTTGTCATAAAGATGAAATGTTTAAGTCTAAATTTTTAATTAGAGTAAAAATAAAATAAATTCGTAATAACTAATTTATTTAAATCATTAATTTTAATTTATCTAAAAGATTAGCAAAATTTTTATCAATATTATGCATCTATATAAATTATCTGTTTTATCTTATTTATTTTTCATAATTATAATGAAATCATCATAATTTTTTATATACTATAATATTATTTATTTATATATTATTTATTTATTTATTTATATAATATTATATATATTGCTTGAATCATACGATATAAATTTATTTCGAGAATTATTGAATTAACTATCGAATCATCGATCTTCATTAATCATATATGTTTCTAAATTATCCAAGTTATCTAATTTATAATTTGTTTTGCTTTTATCAATCACATTATAATATAAATTATATATTATAAGTTATATATATATATATATATATATGTATATATATGACATCAATTAATAATATAATATTGAAAATCATGGTTAAAAAAAGTAAAATGAAACATGTGTTCTTTAACAAATGTGAGAAAAAATAAATAATATATTTTAATACTTCTTAAAAGTTAAAAAAAAGTAAAAAAAAATTCAATTTAATTTTTACATTTTATATATCGCATTTTTTCATGATAAGTATAATAGAATTATGTCAATATAGAATAGCGGTAATTCTTCGATACTATTGAAAACAATTCGATTAAAAAAATAAAATGAAACAAAGATAGAAACAAGAAAAATTGATTGAATGTTTCATACATTTGTCTTTAGAAATGCGAAACAAGGCATCAGCCGGAATATCGAAAATTCAGCGTAGACCCACAGATAACATCCATTGAAGTGCTTCAAAGTATACTCATCAAAGCATTCGACATCAAAGGGTAAGATAGTAACACTGTTAACAACGAATAATCATTGATATACATCGAATATATTACATCGCAAACATAAAAGAACGAACCTTCGAATATTCATTTGCTTTGAACACAAAGCAATTAACATTTATCTACGCAAAAACCGAGTTCGCGTTAGATTATGAAAATAAAAAATTTTCGCGAATTATTTTTTTTTGTTATTATTGAACAATTATTAATCATTAATCAAAAATTAATTAAAATATTAATTAAAAATAATAAATAATAGAAAATGATGCGTTAATATAAAATTTTAAGAAAAAATATTTTTAAAAAATATAAGAAATAAAAGAAATATTTTAAAAAATAAAAGAAAAAAAATAAAAAGAAAACATTAAAAAATATTCCTTTCAAATTTGGTCCACAAAATAATAATTTAATTTTAATTTTATAAATTATAAAATTTGTAATACATACGTACAATATACATTTGTATTGAAAGTATAATTTGTATTGAAATTTTTTATTTCTGGATTTCTGGATTTATATCGAATATTATCAAAAAGTTAATATTAAATTTAAATATTTCCTTTAAAATTGTTTATATTGTTTTTAATCGTTATTATTAATAAACGTAAATTTAAAGAATTTTTAAAAGCATGATATGAATTGATCAATATTTATTATTTTCATAAAGAAATTATATTTTATTTATATTAATTTAAAAAAAATAGAATTTAGAAAATATTAAAATAACGAGAATATATTATTGAATATATTTTACAGTACATAACAAAGAATATCAATTTTGTTGGTTAAAATAGAAATAAATTTTTTTATTTCGTTGTTGCGTCTGATATCTATATATTAGTTGTAAAATTATCTCTTTTTTATGAATCATTTATTCATTTCTAAGTAAAACATTACATTAACTTGCAAAAAAATATATTTATTTGATAAATGAAAATTTTTTAAGTAAAAAATAGCATAGTATGTATGCAATATACAAAAAAAATTTGTATAAAAGAAAAGAATATCTGAAATATACAGATACATTGTTCTTTTGTATAAATATATTTTATAGTATAATTATGTTTGTAAATTATATTTGTATTTTATATATATATAAAATATATTATATTATTAATATATTATATTTATTTTATTTTTATTATTATTATTTTTATTTTTATTTTTATTATAGTTATTTTATATATATGTATAAAAATTAATAAAATATAATCAATTCATTATTAAAATATTTTTATCTCGATATTAAATTATGTGTAAAAAATTATAAAAATGTACAATGAAAAAAAAAATAATTTTTCGAAATATTTCGAAATATTTTTACAGAGAATTCACAGTTTCATATCGAGCAATAGATGATTATGGATCAGAAACATATTTATTTTTGCTTTCTGATTGGGATTTGGATGCAGCATTTATTAGGTAAATTTTAACACTATTCCTATCTAAATAATAAACGATAATAAATGTTAATCTAATGTTAATCAATAATATATTTTATTGTAGCGCCTCTGAACCATATTTATATTTGCAAGTCAACTTAAAACCATTTGGAGAGACAGGTGATTGTGAGTGTTACTGGGAACAGAATGCACAGGAAGTGTCGACTCGGCAAGAAACCGGATTTCCATACAAGACACCCAAATTACCGGGTCTCATAATGAATAAGGTGAATATTGTTCTTATTCATCTAAAAATCAGAATGCAATTATTTATTTCTCTTTCGAGTTTTTTCTTAATGGAACATAAGGTATATATTTATATAATAATTATATATATTTATATTGTATATATATTGTATTATATATGAATGATGAAATAGATATAGTTTATATATTCGTGATAAAATGGATAAAATGGATGGAATATTAAAATATTCATTAAAAAATAATTCAATGTTTTATAAAAAACAATCTTATTTATTAAAAAAATAAAATATATTTTTCTTTTTCTTTATTTTTTCAGATTATGTGTTTTAAAATATATTCTAAAAATTTTTAATTTTATGATATTAAAATAATTATTTTATTATATAATTGTAATAAGATTAATGTCTGATATATTATTTCATAAATAGAGTATATTTACATAATTTCTCATAATTAATATAGATACTATGTATAGATATTATAGATATGTATGTTTAACAATATTTCATTATTTATAAAATTTGTAAACGTGATATTTAAAAAGATGTATACTTAAATGTATACTTTATAAATTAAGTTATTTCCGACAGATGGAAAGAACATTAAATATGGTTCAACGTGCTTTGGGTAATTTAAGTGAAGAATCATCTCACCAACAAAGTGCTCAACCACCACGACCACCATTGACAGATGCGGAGTTTCGAAGATTTTTGGATCCTATTGGACAAGTAATACATCCTAAAGAACTAAGAGCCGTGATATACTTTGGTGGAATTGAACCTAGTTTACGAAAAGTAGTTTGGAAACATATTTTAAATGTATATCCCGAAGGCATGTCCGGTCGCGAAAGAATGGATTACATGAAGAAAAAATCACAAGAATATCAAAATCTTCGAGAAAGATGGAAAACGTTGGTGCAAAAAGGACAAAATATTGGAGATTTGGCATATGTAACAAGTATGGTACGGAAAGACGTTTTAAGAACAGATAGACATCATAAATTTTATGGTGGTTCTGATGATAATCAAAATACAGCCAGTCTTTTTAATATTTTGACAACGTATGCCTTAAATCATCCGAGTGTTAGCTATTGTCAAGGTATGAGCGATTTGGCTTCACCTTTATTGGTTACTATGAGAGACGAAGCACAAGCATACATATGCTTGTGTGCTCTTATGAGAAGATTAAAAGATAATTTCATGCTTGATGGAATTGCAATGACTACGAAATTTGCTCATTTAGCTGAAGGTATGTAAGACTTAATATATTTCCTAAATAATTAGGAGATTGTAATTTTTGATATTATAAAAAATAAATTATATATCAGGTATGAAAAAAAGTTATAATATAATATTAAATTTAAAGCAAAATTTAAAATATAAAATACGAGTAATTAAAATATTATAAATATTATAAATAATTTTTAGAAAAACTAATATAATAATATAATATAATAATATAATAATAATTCATATTAAAAATAATTAGTAGAGAAAATATGAAATTTGATATTTAAAAAAAAAACTTATAAATAGGAAAGAAAGAAAACAATCTTCTAATTGATTTATATAATTTTCTCAAATTAGAATAATTTAATGAATGATATAACATTTGTATTAATTATTATACATTATCTACATTTTTTAAGGTTTGCAACATTATGATCCAGACTTTTATACTTATCTAAAATCTCATCAAGCGGATGATTTATTGTTTTGTTACCGATGGCTTTTATTAGAAATGAAGCGTGAATTTGCTTTGGATGATGCTTTAAGAATGCTTGAAGTTTTATGGGCTGCTTTGCCAGCATCACCGCCGAATGGAGAACTTAATTTAGCTGAAGTACCTTTTCCTCCACCTTCACCACCTCCAAGTCCAAATGTGAAACATATTCGTGAAAATGCATATACAAAAGTTTGTGCTATCAGACGACAAAGTTCTTCTGCGAGTATTGCTACTGCTGGTAAAAGAAAAACTTTAAATACAGAGGATCCATCTTTGCAAAGCTCCTCAGAAACAAACGGTGACTCAAAAAGGTACTTCTATGCAAAAATGATGAAAGCAGTGAAATACAAAAATAATAATATAAAGTGAAACTCGCTGTCTGCAGATCGAGCTCTCCTTACGAGACGTTTTCTGAACCAGAGAATGATTTGATGACAGCGAAAAATCGAAGAAACACAGAATCTACGGAAAAGTGCCTAAGTACAGATTCTTTGTCTGGTAAATCTAAACGTGTAAACTTGCTGGAATTGAAAGAAAGATTGTCGTTACCTAGTAAAGATCAAATTAAAAATAACGAACAAAATGATGGCGAAAAGAAATGTGCTCGAGTAGTAAAAAATCTGAACGAATTTTTAAATTTTACGAGTCTCAATCGTAGTAAAATAACACCAAGTGATGCTGAACCAGAATTGAGGTGAAATGACATATTTTTAATTTTAATCAAAAAATATTTTTATTATTCTTTTATTACTTTTATTATTATTATTATTATTTCTTTGTTTTTTTAAATAGAAATTTAAAATTATTTTATAATCAAAAATTATTTTTTAGACGTGTTTCGAGCGAAAGCGGAGTGATTAGAGTTTTAAGAGATGAACCTAGTTCTCCAGATGATCCAACAGATTTTTTTCCAATGACTACTTCTATGACTAGAGAATTAAGACTGGAATTAGAATCACTCGATCGACAAGTTTTCGGACCATCACCGCCAAGCGATCAACAGTGTGATTGTGTTCTTTCTAAAAGAGAAAGTGAATTAGTTGATAGCGAAACAGATACGGAATTAGCAAGATGTAGTCCAGCTGCTGATGTATTTGTATGGGAGAATCCTTTACATACATTACAACAAAAAAATCATCCAGCTACTCCCGATGAACAAGCGGAACTTGAATATGATGGCGAAATATTAGAAGATCAAAATGGTGTTAAATCTGTTACCCCAATTAGATTACTTAAACGTACTACGAGGTATATACTTAATTTCTTAATTTTTATAAAATTATATGTTTCGAAATATAATCTTAGAAAGAATTTTGAAATCATATAGGTCTGAATCTGCTTCGGATAGTGAAGAGGCAGAAAGTTGGCATCAAAATGCAACGATACAAGAAAGTCCAATAAAACAATCAATACAAGAACACTGCGAAGAAGCTACAGAGCTTACAAATCTTATTCCTGCAGGAACTTGTGAAGATCAATTGGGAGAAAGTTCACTACCTCCACCTCATGAATTTGGTGGTGGTAATCCATTCCTTATGTTCTTGTGTATTACTCTATTATTACAACATAGAGATTTTGTTATGCGTAATCAAATGGATTATAACGAAATGGCAATGCATTTCGATAAAATGGTTCGACGACATAATGTTATTCGAGTGCTCAATCAAGCGAGACAATTATTCGCTGGTTATCTTAGAAGGCATTCTTCATCATCATTAGCTGCGAAATCAGATTCTGTAAATGTATAATCTCATAATGCTTGAATGTTGTACTTATTAACATAAGTAAAATGGACGATTTTAAAATATTGTATCATTTAAGATAAATCATGAAAAAAATAAGTTTAAAATATGTTTTTTAGATCTGAAATATAAATCAAAACATCTTCTGTAAATGAAAAAAAATATCAGATAAAATACGTATCAGTGATAAATTAGGCAATAAGAAATTTAAATAATCTCCTCAAGGTGCTCTTTTAACATGCGTTCGTAAAAAATAATGAACTTTTTGTGTATTCTTTTAATCTTTTTAATTATAATGATTGATATATTTTCAATTTAAATATTATCATTAATTAACGAAGATATATTTCAAGAAATATTAACTTTTACATTATTTATTTGCATTTATCTATTCTTCTACTGCCTACTAATGAATTTCTTATTAAAATAAAAAGTTTATTTTCTTAGAAAAAAATAATTTTAATTTGAAAGAATGAAACCTTTCTAGTGATCATGTATAAGTAAACACAAATAAATATATAAACGAATGTAATTATCTGCAATGTGATAGCAATTATTATCTATTGAAAATAATTATTATATTTCGCATAATTTCTAACTTTAAGAAATTAAGTGAAATTTATAAATATTTCTTTGATAAAAATAATGTGCAATCATTACAATAGATTTTAAACATGTTGAGAATGATATGACATTAAATCTATTTCACTTGCATTAATATAATTCCTTGATATTATGCACAATTGTATCACATTCATAAATCCTTTCACTGTATCTTAATTTAAAATTAAGTAAATAGCTTAAATTTATAAAATATCTATAATTATACACTTAATAGTTGTATCTTATTTTGCTCTCAAACAATATGCTTGAGAATCGACAATAAAGTGCATTTAATTTTATCGCTAATAATTGAAATATAAATTTCTCTTTGCATGCTTAAAAAAAACCTATTTTTTATATTTTATATTTTATTTTAAGTAAGCTAATAATTTACATATCATCTTAAGATATAACATAAAGTAGATTATATTTGTAAAACTTATTTATTGCAAAATAATTTTAAATACTAAATCACGACGTTTTCCAAACATCATACGAAAATGGAAATCCATAATTTCTGAATTAGCCTATTGAAAAGCACTTTTAATTTTTTCTTCTGTTTCCTCCATTCACTAATATTGTGAGAATTCTTAGAAAGATATTTACTACATCCATATAAACTGAAATTGCACTGAAATAAAAAATGCAAATATGTATAAATTTGCATATATATTTTTAAATTTTTCATAATTACTCAAATTACTTACTTATTAACTGGATCATATGGCCTTGCAAGTTGATTATAAGCTGGATAATTTTCTGCTTGTTTAATAATTTTTTGAGTATCATACAAAAGAAGCATTGAAAATAGCACCAAACCACCATATAAAGATATTGAATATAAGCCAGATCCAATAGCTGTTGTAGGTGGCAAAAATATTGTACCAACACTACTTGCAAATATAAGTCCTAAACCAATTGCTAATGGACCTCCCATATTCAAGAACTTTTCATTTGGTGCACAAATTGCTACTACTGATAAACCACCAACTACACCAGCAGTATACCATGCAGCTCTAAGTACCAATGGTCCTCCAAATAAGTAGAGAGGTGCAAGAAATGCACCAATAGTGCCAGTATGAATTAACCATGCTATTTGTTTTGCACCAAAACCTTCTTTATATGGAATAGTCTGTAGCAATATTCCACTACCCCAAACAGATGCTAAAGATACGAACATGGCAAGCCATCCTTGACGCATTATTAAATTCATAACAGTTGGTGAACGTATACATATTGCTGCAGTTGCAGCACTAGTTATTATAGATGCACCAAGGTACATATATGTAGTCTTAATTCTATCCTTTACATATTGAGGCCATAATCTGTAAAAAATTATATAAATATTCTATTATAATTTGTATTTATTTCATTGATAATATTTGATTTTTTTTTTAATTGTAGTGATAGTTAAGAAAAAATACTTTGCATAATCTATAGCTCCCATGGATGGCGACAAACCCAAACCATAATAACATAAGGAACCTAATCCTATTACAGCACCACCAGCAACAACTCCTTTTCCAATAGTAAATGCTATGCATATAAAAATGTTTTTATTAGTAAATTTAATGTTATTAATTGATTCTACTAATATTTAATATAATTATAAATATTAATATTTAATATAATTATTATATATATGCAACATTCATAAATCAAATAATTTATACCATATGATAAATCTTAAAGTTTAAAAAACATTTAAGAAATGAATTTCATTGTTATTTTTAAAATTTTGTAGCAATGAATAAATAACTTGCATCAGTTTATTTAAAGTAATTTATAATTTCTATAATATATATTTCTATTTTGTAATTGTATTATATTATATATTACATGTATAATTTACATTGTTTTCATTTAAAATTTTTTTAATTAATGCCCTACCTGTTTCTCCCGCAGGTGCCATTGCTTGTTCTGAAAGAGAAGTTGATTTACGAGTAGATCTTGCAAATGTGCTTCGTCCATCATTAGCAAATAATCTTGTGGATTGAATTTTCGGAATAAAAGGTTTCGAATTAATTGGAGTTTTCAGTAAATTAACTAAATTTGGTGAAATACTGCTTCGACATACTCTAGCGAGCATCATTTTTGTACGCTATTTTATCTGAAATATAAGATACGATTAATAAAAACAGCGATGACATTTGTATATTAATCAACAAAAATTACACACGATTTTGAACTAACTAAGTCTTAAGTATTTGAAAGATATTCACATATCTATCAAAATTTATTTAAAACTCCAGAGCAATATCTTTTCGCAAAAATTTCTTGTGATTACTCACAGACGCAATATGCTGCAATTGTCACGACTATATCGATATAACCGATATCTCGAACTACTAGCAATTTCGTTGATCTACATTCACAATTTCACATACATGCTTATACAAAGTTGCTGCAAAAGATCTCACTATGGGAAGAGTGGGAGAGAATAATAGTGGAACAAAGTAGGAACTAGGAATCGTGACAAACGTTATATCATATAATGAAACATCCGTCATTTGTTCCCCCACTTTCATTTTTTGCACTATTATATTATATATTACTTTTCCTATTCCTTTTTCTAGTGAGATATTTTCTGACAACCCTAAAAATAAATACTATAAAAATAGCAAAATTATTTACAAATGAAGTATCATCTTTAATGCGTATAAATATTAACAAGATTTTTAATATATTATATTTTATTAATTTATATTTTTTTCATTATTTATATTGATATATATATTTTCAATTACAATATATTTACCGATGTAAATGATCGAAAATCAACAAACAAATCACATAATTGTTATGATTTCAACTATTGGATGAAAATCTTAAGATGGCTTTATAATTTTCTATGAAATACTCATTATATTTATTGTATATTTTCATGAAAATAGCTTTTGTATTTATGTATATATATATATTATATATATAGTTATTTAAATGATTTTAAGATTATTAAATTATCAAATTAAATTCTTTATTACATTATATATATATATATTTACTTTCAGTAACATAGTTTGATGAAAATATTTTTAAAAAATATATCAAATTATTTCTAAATTATATATTTTACAATTATTGGTAATAATTTTGTCTTAAATAAAAATAAAGACTAATATTATGTTTATACTTATATAAATTATAAAATTCTCTTTACTAATAAGTAAAATTAAATTTTACAAAATATTAAGCATTATCAATAATTATAAAATCTAAAGTTAAAATATTATTTCCGGTTAATCCTGTTTGATAAATATGGCAACATTACATTTGTAAATTAACCAATCATATATATTCATAGTTAATAAAACTAACCAATCATTCTTTCAGAAAGATGTACGTATAATGCACCGGAAATAATGTTACATAGTGGGGGTAATTCCTCTAGTAGATCTCCAACTTCGCTGCTTCGTTCTCTTCGTTGTCGGACGCCATAGTGAACGCTTCAGTTTGCGAAGGAGTGAATCGGGTTCGTTCGCGAAAAAGTTCGTTTTTTTCTTCAAACGAGCATATATTTAATTTGAGCGAACGATGGCAGGAGCCGAATCACCAAATGTAAAACAAGAATCGCAGAATACATCTGCAGAAAATAGTAATGAAAATCCACGAGAACGAAATCCACCCGGCGGTGGTGGTGGCGGTAATCGTGGACCGCGTGGACGAAAAGGAGGAACACGTTTTTCTGGTGGACGTGGTGGCGGAATGGGTAGTGGAAATAGAAATAATGATGGACCGGTAAGAATTTCATATTTTTTTTTTTATATAAATTTCGAATATAAATTATATTCTTTGTTTCTACCGCCATATTTGCTATAAAATGATGCGTAATACTTTTACCGGTTTTAACTTTTTATTTTTTATTTTAATTTTTTAAATATTATTATAATTTTTGTTTGTATTATATTTTTCAATATTTTTTTTTTTCAACATTTTATTATTAAATGTAAATTAAAGATACGTTTCTTTGATGTTTAATTTAACTAAAACTTCAAATTAGTTTTTTAAATTCAATTTTATTTAAACAATTATATTAAAAATTCTTATAACTTAAAATTCTTATAACTTATATAATATATTGAAGTAAATTAATTAAGTATAGTATAAAAAATTCTCTAATAAATAATAATTCTGCAATTTTCATATTTGATAAATCTGATATAAAATATATATTAATAATTCTACAACTATAAATAAATAATATTTATTTAATAAATGTTATTTTTTTTTTATTAGAATTTCTATATATGAGAAACAATTAACATATCGATTTTTCGTCAGGGTAGTTACAAAATGGCGTATATAAAATATAAGATGGCGAATAAGTATCCCAACTTCGCGACACGTGGTTAAAAAAAATTTATATATACATTTATATAACTATTTTTTGCAGTAATATCAATATTATCCAATAATATCCAATTATTCCAATAATATCAAATTTAAAAAATAATACTCTTTTCGATAATAACATCAAGTTTTTTCGTAAAATTTAAAACTTAATCTTATATATAATGTAAAAATATTATTGAAAATTGTCACTATTTATTTTTATTTAAAAAAAAAATAAATTGCAAATTGCAAATGGTATTCTCTTAAAAAAATTATTAATATCTGTCATTTGATAATATTAATAAGTTAAAATTATTTTTATCTAAAATTCCATGTTTATGTATTTTAATAAATTTTAATTACATATTTGAATTACAAAAATTATCTAAACATTATAGATGAAAATGAGTGATTCTATGGATGGAGGTATGGACAATACAATGAATGAAGGAATGGGTGGAGGAATGGGTATGGGACGTGGTGGTGGAATGCGTGGTGGTAGAGGTGGCCGTGGAGGGACTGATAGAAACATGGGAAATCGTTCACAAGATGTAAGTAGAAAATAAACAATTATATATATTGATTAAAGTATTTTGTATATTATGATTTACAATTTTATGTATTTTTTTCAATTTTTATAATTAGGATCGTTTAATGGAACGTATTATGGCCATTAGTGGCCCTACACATGAATTACCATCTCAAGAAACCACAGAAAAAAAATTCAGTGGTCGTAATCGTTTATATATTGGAAATTTAACAAATGATGTTACAGAAGAAGAAATCCAGCAAATGTTTCAACAATATGGTGAAATATCTGAACTTTTTGTTAATAAAGAGAAAAACTTTGCATTTCTTAGAATGGTAAATTTAATACATTTTTCTTTTATATAATTTTCATATATAAATAAAATGATTAAAATAATTACCGTTTGATGGAAAGTGATGATAATTTATGGCTGCAATTTTATATTATGATAACATTTTTTGCATAAATTTATGTAAATAATTTAAATTTATTTTAAATTAATTTAATTGTTTATTTTTTATAGGATTATAGAGTAAATGCTGAGAAAGCAAAACATGAATTAGATGGTACAATGCGTAAAGGTCGTGCACTCAAAGTACGTTTTGCTCCTCATTCTTCAACCATTAAAGTTAAAAATCTTACACCTTGGATTTCAAATGAATTACTCGAAAGAGCATTCAGTGTTTTTGGTGAAATCGAACGTGCGATAGTTATAGTGGATGACAGAGGAAAATCTACTGGAGAAGGAATTGTAGAATTTTGCAGAAAACCATCAGCCCAACTCGCTCTACGAAAATGTACGGAGGGATGCTATTTCTTAACTGCGTAAGTTTTTGTAAGAGAAAAAAAATTTTTTTTTTTTCTTCCCAGCGCCACGCTTGTTTGAAACATTTAATTATCAACAAGTGCCTAAATACTGATTATACTGGGGAAAAGAAAAAATTCCTATAGGAAGCATGATACAATAGATATATGTATTGTGTGCTGACAAATGGAATACAAAATTTTAATTTGAAATAATTTTATTAAAACAATTCTTTGAAAAATTTATATAAAATATTTTTATTATAGCTCTTTACGACCAGTGGTTGTTGAACCATTTGAACAACAAGATGATATTGATGGTTATCCAGATAAAAATTTACCACGAAAAAATCCAGAATTCTTTAAAGCTCGTGATATTGGACCAAGATTTGCACAGATAGGAAGCTTTGAACATGAATATGGAACAAGATGGAAACAACTCCATGAATTATATAAACAAAAAGAAGAGGCACTGAAACGAGAAATGGCAATGGAAGAAGAAAAATTGGAAGCTCAAATGGAATTTGCACGTTATGAGCATGAAACTGAATTGTTACGAGAACGTTAGTATTTAAAAGTATAAAATAAGTATAAAAGTATATAAAAATATTATTCAATATTCATGTCAAATTCATAAATAATGTTTTTCATAAATTCACTTTGTTTAATTATAGAATTGCGTATGCGTGAGGCTGACCGTGAAAGACAGAAGAGAGAATGGGAAATGAAAGAAAGACAGGCTGAAGAACAAAGAACACGTGAAGAAGAATTACGAAGACGACAACAAGAAGAAATGGCAATGCGTATAAGGAGACAAGATGAGGAACTACACAGGCGTCAACAGGAAAATAATTTATTTATGCAGGTAATCATTAATAATTTAACAAAAATAAATTTTCAAATTAAAAAAATTTTTATAATAAATTAAAATTTTAACATTACCACATTACAAGGAACTAAATATTAGATTTATTTAAAAAATACATAGGTAAAAAAACAAAATTGTGATAAATTTTTATTTTTTATTTAAAATGAAATTTTTTTTATCATTTATATTACAAATATTCATTATCATTATAGAATAATGATGGAGGATATAATACATTCATAATATTTATGATTTTTAATTGGTCAATTCATTCATACTTTTTACTAATGCTTAGGGTTATGTTCCCTTTATATTTAAGGAGCAAGCAATGAGAAGAGGAGGTGGAGGAGGAATGGGAGGAAAGAATTATGATTCTGTTAGTAATAGTGATCGCGACGGATATGGTCAACCTGATGGTAAGTTTTAAACATTTTATTAACTAAATATTAATATCGTGTTTTTATATGAAATTTTTTTAATTCTTGAAAATTTATTTTTTGCAGATTTTAATATATTTTTCAATATGATTAATAATATATTTTAATTCAACTAGACTATATGCACATATAAATGAATAGTTTACATTGATTTTGTTTTATTATAAATCGAAGTTTATAAAAAGTATCACTATTAGAAAACTCAAATACTAAATAAAACTAAAAAAAAAATTAGCAAAATAAGTAAAAAGAATAATTTACTCATTTAATGTTACATAATGTATAATTTCGATCAGACTTCTTTTCCATGGAATTTATATTTTACACAAAAGTTTAATTCGTAAATTAATTATTTAAAATAATTTTTAATTGTAAATTTTATTTTATTACAGGTGGAAGCAGCATGCCAGTGGTAATGTATCCCATTGAATTATTATTTTATATATATATTTTTTTTAGAAAAGTAATTATTTTTTCTTAAACTGTTTATTTGATTTTTTATTTATGTGTATTTCTATTTGATGATATTATGAAACAAATTATATCTCTATGCGGGAATTTTTCGTTAGAAAAGTTGAACTGCATTTTTGCATGATAAAAGAATCAGTATTATTAGTGAAGATATATTCTGAAAAAAAAAAAGTGAAAAGAATTTCACGAATATTTTCATGAAGCATGCTTTCCAAAATATTAGGGTTCTAATGTCTGCAACAATGCCAATTTTATTATAATTAGTTTAATAAATATTTATATGTCATTAATAATTTTGAATAATTGGCTAACATGTGGAGGTGTCAATGGGCATTCAACCTTTCTATTTGGTTATAAAGGGAACTATTTTTATAGTATGGACAGGTGCAAAATTTTTAATAATTTGCTTCTGTCTTTATAAAATTAAAAATATTATTTTATGATCTAAAAGGAAAAATATATTGATATATTATATCTTATATTTTGAATCTTTTACATTGACATAACATATTATAAATCTACTCTTGAATTTCTTCATTTTCTTCATTCAAATATAATTACATTAGTGGCATGCTTTTCTATTATCTATTAGAAACAATTACTGAAATGTTAATTATTTGTATTTTTCAAATTCGATTGGATTATATAATAATATTATGTAAATTTTATATAAGGTTGTTACAATAATTTAAGATATAATTCTGTCATTTCTGTTGAAAGATTTCATCATAATATTTAATATTATTTAATATGGCATTATTATGATATGAAATACTTATAGGTGATGCATATTTAAAATTTAGAAGAAGTATTGGGTAGTAATTTTCATTCATTCTATATAAACAATATAAAATATGTTGCATAGACAGGCAGGTTAAGGTTTCATTGGATGAATTCTTCTATCTATAATTAAATTCTTCATGTTTTAAATGTACTAAAATTTCAGTACATTTAAGCATTATTTATTTCTATCTAGATACTATATATAACTAATTTCACACATACTCAATTTTATCTGTAGGATATCAATAATAATATTTCTATAAGTGTCTGAAGAAATAAATTTTTCTTTTAATTTTATTAATGATATATTATTATAAATGTTATTTCATTTTTTAAATTTTTAAAATGTATATTAAAATATGAATAATTTATTTATGAATATGATCTTTAAGATTTTAAAATTTTTATATATTTATATACTATAGACATATTCTTTAGACACATATCAATAAAATTAAGACTAAAAACTGAATTAATATATTTTGTGCCACATTGGTCTCTCCATATGCTTGCAGACAGGAGGCTCTGTCTTCTATTTTCTCTAGCTGTATTAAGAATTATGTATCTTATATACTATGGAACTATTTTTATATAAAATTTTAATATTAGAATTAAATTTAATATTTCTTCATTTAATGTATATGAAAATTTGTTTGTAGAATAATATAGTTCCATAGTAATAATTTGATATTTATTAACCAACAAATGCCCAACTACTAATATATATTAAACATTAAAGAACATAATCACTTGTATTCAGAAATTATTTTTATTTGATGTATATATAACTTATTTAAAATTGAATTATAATTTAAATATAGTTTCTGAGTACAATTAATTCTGATATTTATATATTATAATTCTTTATAAATAACAATAAATAACAAAATTTAAAATAATCTTTATGGTATATAATTTAAGAAAATATGGGATTTTAATTGATTCTATGAATTTTTCTACACATATTATATTACAATGCTCATTTTAAAATATTTCACATGAATAATTCTGTGGTATAAATATTGTATAAAGTTTGCTTAGAGATCTTGATCACATCTCTTTGTCACTTGTTTCAATATTTAAACTTCAGAATTACAAAATTCTAATATTTGAATTCAATTTTTGTAATATTATATTCAAAAATACTATTTATATAATAAAATGGTTATATTTTTAAACATTTTTAATGTGTTAGGCATTTAAATTATGAAAATATATAATTAAAAAGATAAGATTCTTGTTCTGTGATGCTTAATGTTTTACATATAAAAACTTATATGTTTAACAATAAGCACTCTAGCATTTGATATCTGCTATATTATATATCATATAAATTAAAACTTAAAGTAATTTCAAAGTGATGAAATTTTTAAAATTTTGTTGTGAATGTTGAATAATGATGGTATATTTTTTCATGATGGATTCAATTTCTAAATTACTTTAATAGGAATCTATTAATATTTTCTATTTCTGTTTTAATTCTGAAGGTTAATACTAAGCTTATAATTTTATGACTGTTATATTTTAAAATATCATTTATAAAAATATATATAAACTTCCATATGGAAAAAATTGCATATAAAACTGTAGGTGATATTTAATCTATTTTACTAAATAAACTAAATCTAGATGTACTTACTATATCATTGATATTTTACCATGTGATGTGATTGTATGTTGGGCATTTGCTTGGTTTAATAAGGGCAATCGATGTCAAGAAAACGGTATATTCTGAAAGCAGTATAACATTATCCGTATATGTCATTTATTTTAGTGCGTGTATTAATCACGCATTCCATTCTATTAATGTTGTACGAGCAAACAACATCTAACATTGTGTTTTCCCCTTTCTTTTCTATGTGATTTGACGAAAATTGACGATGACCTGTGCTGCTGTCAAACATGGATGGTCGCCCTGAACCGTGAAATGTATTTATGGTACATCCAAAATCTACTACAAAACACCGTTATTCATCGTATAAATGAAAATTGTTGACATTCGCTTCAATTATATTATCGGTGCATAACTTTCGATTTTGACGTCAAATATCGCTTGTTTTTATTTTACGTGTAATAACTAAATTCAACTTATCTATAATGATGATTAGGATCCGAAATCTTTCATGGATGCTTATAATAGTATGGATCGAGGTGGTTATAATGATGATCGTGGTCAAATAATGGATTTGATGGATATGAGGGTTGATATGGGTAATATGGGTGGTGGTCGTGGAGGTAGTGGTAGTAGTGGACGTTGGCAAGGTGGAAGTGATCGAAATCGTCAGGACGATTACCCTAATAAAAGAAGACGCTATTAAAAAATACCACAGTATTAAAAATAACTTTTTTTTAATAATTGAGAAAAAATATTTTTCCGATAGTTCGCAGTTGCATTCTTCAGTCATTTTTTCCGACAAGTTTCGCTATTGATCATCTTTCACATTTTATATCATAGGAGAATATATTAATGAGAATGAATAGGCAGACATGAAAAGGGATATATAGTGTTTAAAAAAGAGTGATTTTATATCTTCCGTATTGGATTTGACTTCATAACATCGGAAATCATTTTGCTGATAAGAGATTGCTGTGTTTTAAACAGTTTTTAAGTTATAAAAACATCTAACAAATATAATTTTGTGAATGTATATTAAATACAAGGGACTTCTCATAAAAAGGATTTAATTTAATAGTGCTAATCAATTTCATATATTGACAAATTCTGTACACTTTTTGACAAAAATTCTTCAAGACATAAAAAACATTAAGATACTGTTAAAACGTTAACTACTAACACAATTATATCATTCTTTAAGTATAAGAAAACATTGAATTAATATGTCTTTAATTTATTAGAAATTCTCTGAAAAACTCTAAGAAGAAGGGATGTATATAATGAAAACAACTGAACTTCAAGTTTACAGTATCATTTCATAAAATTTCATATCCTATATATCGTCATATAGACGAAAATATATTCATTGTCAATTAGCAATTCAAATAAAATAATTTCGTGGAAGTTTTATTTCGTGAAATAGTATGTAAATATTAAAAATAATGTAGTATATTAATTTTTGGTACTATTGTATTACTATACCATACTATATTATTCATAGTTTATTTTCTTGATTTAATAATCCTCCCAAGGTGAAAGTATATACTCTGATAGTATTTTTAGTTTTGTACTTTACAAAAACAAAAAATTAGTTTATAAGTAAAGCGTTTAACATTGACTGAAATCAACATCTCAGTCATTTGTTAATTTATCTTTCTAATAAGAAATAAAATTGCATAAACGCGTGTGTACGTCAGTATCAAAGATAGTTTTATCTAGTGCATTATCCATATTCATACATATTCATGTTTTTAGTTAATGATGGTGTAAATGTCACCATGAAAGAAAGTAAATGCAATGTTTGCATTACTTAAAGCTTTATAACAGTAATTATGTTAGACTAAGACATATATCAACAAAGTAATCTGCAATTGTGCTATTCAAATTTGTGAAGGAACTTATTTGACAAAAAATAATTTTATGAATAAAGGTCTACATATATCTATACGTAGGAATAATTTTTATTTATAATTATTAATCTTTTTAATTGTAGACATTTCGCGAATTTCACGTGATATTTGAAAGATAATGCGAAAAATCGCTATATCTTTATTGCTTTCAATATTAATCCTTATTAGATGTATATCACATCTGATATTTTTACAATAAATAATATATACTCCGATCTAACCACAAATTATGTAAAATAATTATCTGATAAGGATTAATTTATATTTAATAATATATGATTATAAAATTTGAATCTCTATTATAGGAAATTAATGTTTCATATAAATTCATATTTCTGCAATTCTTAATAAGATTATGATTATATATTATATAATCAATTTTATTTATATTTTATATTACTTTTTAAAAATTAAAAAATGCTCTGGGTTTTAAAATTTATAGGAAATCATGAATTGATACATCGAAAATATTAAATAAATAAATTTATATAATAATTTAATACCTACTTATATAGTGAACTTATATTCTTTAATAATATATCTAAAGAAATTTTAGGATTTTAAACGCATATTTATATTAAACTCCTAATGATATTTATCATGGGTCTATATTAAATAATACATTAAAACAAAAAAAATTTGAATATGAATTTAAGAGATCTGAATTTCTTAAAAGATTAAAAACTAGAATAGGAAATAATTATTAATATTTTTTGTTTTGATTGCTCTTATTAAAGTGAATATTTATTATAATAAATCATTTTTTTTAATTTAAAAAAAATTTTTTTGATAAAACAAATTCTTCATATATTTAAAAATCATATATTTTTTTATATGAAAAAATTTGAAATATTTATGGAAATAAATTTAAATTTTGATATTGAAGTTTTCTAAATATAATTGTAAATAGTGAAGTATAACAGAAGATAATTAAAAATTTTAATCTTTAATTTAATTTAATGTACAAGTGTTATAAAAAAAAGTTATATTTTCTAATATCAAAAAGTATTATCATATATTTCTTTCAGGAAACATCATAATAAACATCATGCATGTACAATTTGTTATATGAATTTCATATAAATTTTTATCATAAAAATATTTCATTTAATAATTTTTTATTTTATATTATTATATTTATTATTTTATTAATTCCTATTATATTTCTTATATATTTAATAGAATTTTTTCTTTGAAAAATTTAATTAAATTATTCATTATGTATGTACTTATGGGCATGTGAATTAAAAAATACATTTTATAAATTTTTTTATAAATTATTGACATTATTTTTCAAACTTTTCAAAATATTTTATTTATTTATTCTTAATTTTAATCTTTTATTCTTAATTAATAATCTGGCATTTTTATTTCTTGTGAATTAAATATGAACTATCATTAAAAAATCGTTTTTAAGTTAACTTACTTTTTTCTCAAAGTAGATGCTTATAATAATAACTAATTTATAAAAAATGCATAAATATTATATATTATATTTATTTACTACTAAAAAAAATCTGAATTTTTATAAATTTTATATTTTTCAAATAAAAATCAATCCTTGCAATAGGATTTGAGGAAATATATTTATGCAATTAATTCTCTTTATTAATTCTCTTTATTATTAAATTCTCTATATTAAAAAATTTATGCATATATAAATAAGTAATGTATATGCATAAGAGATTTTAAAAAGGAAGAATCGCGATTATTTTAAATATATTACTAAACTGATTATAAAAATTGAACATCATTTAAACATGATCTTTCTTTCGAAAAATTTTTTACAATTGTATAATTATGAATATATATATATGCATATATACACATATATTTTTTATATTTAAATTATCCATCTACTTTATTGAAGAAAACAACTATACGAATGTATGCGATTGTTTGTAATTATGAAATAATGAACAGTATAAACTTAATCAAGAATCTCTTAATGGAGGAGAAACTGCAATGACAAGATAGGCTTACTTACTTGAAACTACTAGTCAATGAATCTACTGGTATGAGGTGAGTAGATTTTGTAAAACTGTTATTATGCGTAATTCTATTTTAATCTTCGGGTGGGACATTATATGAGCATATGGTAAAGATTATAAAAAATATAAATAATTTAATTAATAAAATATTTAAAATATAAATATTATATTTATTTATTATATTTAATTATTTTTTCACATTTTCTTTTATTTGATATTAAAAATAATATAATTATAATAATAATAAAATTAATAAATTAAATTTCAATCATAAAGAATTTTATATGTTTGAATTTATGAACTGCAATATCTTCATTTGTAATCTTTACCAACGAAATTATAATTGTTAAATTATGAAACTTCAAAATTCACAAATAAATAAGGAAGTTATTAATTTATTTTATCAATCATATTCAATGTATTATCGTCTTTATATATTAAATATCAGGATTAATCATTTTATTACATAATTCAATAAAAATTTAATACTACAAATTTATACAAATTTACCAGCCTAGATCATGTTTTTACCTATGACAACCAAAATATTCTTATATACCAATTTTAGCAAAGGTTGTCTGGGTTCATTATTGAAATCTAGGCTGATATAACTATAATTAATTTCTATTTGAACAACAAAACTAAAATATATCGGCTATTCTGCTCTCTGGGTGGTAAATATATTTGGATCACTATGCGATATATATAATTACGCAAAATGGAATTTATATGTTATTTAAAAAACCTGGATATTTTAATATTTAATATTTTTAAATGAATTACTTCATATATAATCACTTATGATAATTGTGCAACATTTTGTTACATTTTGAATATTTTAAAATATTTTATTCATTTGGGAATATATATTTTACACCTTAAAAACTGCATATATAATTATATTTTTAATATATTTATTTTAAAAAATAACAAATGCAAACTGAAACATTAAGCAGTTGCTTCTTTATATTACACATTTACTATATGTACTTATTACATAGCATGTTACACTCACTTAAAAATTTAATTATTGAAAGAGTAGAAAGTGTTCCATAAAATATAACAAATCTTATATTTATATTTAACAATGAAATATATTTTTTAAATATAAAATTTTGGAAGAATGCCTTATAACAGTTTTATTGTCAATTTTATTTAGCAAATGTTAACTCATAATTTATATGTTAAACATGTTAATTTATTACTTCTTGTATTGAAAATTAAAATGCTTACATATTATACATTTTTTATATAAAATATATATATATTGGTTTTATGTTTACAGATATTTATAGCAACTGCTGGCTGAGGAAATGAATAAAACACATTGAAAAATAAAAAGGTAAATTTCCATAAAAATTATATGTTTAATTATTTATTTTTTAATTTCTTCTTTTGATTAATAATTCTTTAATTTCAATTCATTGATTATTAAAATTTTAAACAATTATAAAAATGTTAATCATTTTTTCTTATAATAAAATTTTTATTTACAGATCATTTATTGCATTTATTTCAGTATTCCATATGTACTCAAGATACAAACAAAGAAAAGGAATGTATACAAAGAAATTTTAAAATTATAAGGTTTATTTTAATTTCTTTTCTACTTTTTTTTTTACTAAACATAAAATTTAATTTTTTTATAATATTTTTATAATAACAATTATTTAAAAAAATTTTTAATTTTATTAATTTTATTTATATTATTTGAAATACGTTAATTTGAAAATTATTTTATTACTTATCATTTATATATAATATTAATAAAAAAATTTTTTGCAGGTGGAAAATCTGTACATTGAAAATTAAGAAAAAATAAAACCGAACATATAATCTTTTTAAAGATTATAATTATTTTTCAAAAATATTTTTATAGAAAAAATGATGCACATGTGAACTATCTTTATAATTGTAAACTATATATTTTAAGATAAAATAATTTTTACATTGAAGTCTTAATAACTTATTAAATTTTGAATATGTTTTTAAATAGTTATATCACAATATTATAATTAATATGTGATATTAAATGATATATAATGATATATATAATGATATATAATGATATATATATTAAAAAATTTGATGTCTAATTCATATATACAAGATCTTATTTTGGATTTTCCACATAAAAGGTAACATATATTTCTTTAAATATTTGCTTTTAAATTGAATTAATATTGTAAATATAATTATAAGTATTTTTTCTATATAATTTATTTTACAAAAATGATATAAAATATTTTAAATATAATGATGATTTTCTTTCGGGTCTGAATATAATGAAGAATCTTTAAAATCCCAACGTGTACTGAATAAATAAAATATTATATATATAAATTTTTAATATTATATTCAATTAGTAATTACATTTTTTTCTTTCAGAACGCTAAAAAATGAATGCTATGAGATGGAATTATTCAAATTAAGGTGATTACTTATTTAATATGAATAATAAATATTTATAATTACTACCCGGATAAATGTTTAAATTTTTTCCTTTAATACTTATATATATATTATATATATTTCTATTATTGCTTATTTCTTTGTTACTTATGATTTCTCTGATACTTATGAATTCTTCTCTAAATAAGCTATAATAAATAAATTAATTTTATATAATATATATATAATAAATAAGTTAAATTTCCAAAGATTCCAAACATTTAAACGGGCAATATTGTATGTATTTTAATGTAGTAATTTATTGTGATGAAATTTTGGCTAGAGTCCTGAATAAAAGATGACAATATTATTGTTCGTACATTATACTGATATTTAAAACATAAATAACAGGATAGATTATTTAGATAAAATTTTATAAATATAAAATTTTTTATGTTGCAGCATTTTACATCAATATATTACCAACATTACGATGAATTATTTGTCAATTTTGAAAAATTTCTTTCATACTATTCGAATATTTTTATTATTATATTTAACAAAAAGAAAATTTATTGTATTTACATATTTTCATGTTAAAACAATATTAAATAAATATATCTTTGTTTTTAATATATAAAATTTTTACATTGAA